TCTAATTACCTAGTGTCTGTGGCATTCGTTGTCTATTCACATTAGTCCTTGCTTAAAGAGCTGTCTCAAAGACATAATTTCATCTTTTAAAAAGACAATTTTCTCATCGGCAATATTCGGAATAGCATTTTTTTATGTACGCAAATCATAAAGAAAGACAAGAGAGTCTGGACATCTGCAATAAATGTATGAATAATCACATCTTCTTTGTTCTCTGTTAACGACTTCCAAAAGAAGACAAAATATGCATCTATTTGGGACACGATCATTTTAATTTACTCGAAGACAATATAATATTTCTTTTTTGACACAGAACATACTAATTTTCTTCTAAAACAACCAACATGGCCTTCATATTGAACTATGCTTCTTATGCCATCTTATTTTGAACCAAAAATCACATAAACTCGTGATAATTTGGTGAAAAAACGGTCACAAATTGATATTGAATGATTCGGTTTAGTCATGAAATAAAGAAAATTTATCGAAAATGTCAAGTACTTGAAGAAGGATGGGTCGATTGGAATCTTTGAAAATGAAACCATTTAGCGAAAAAGCCAAAAAAATGTGCGGAAAATTAAAAACAAAGCATTTTATGGAATTTTAACAGCTTTAGCTCTACTTCGTTTTTAAGCCGAATAATTTTCATAAATTCATCAAAATAGAAGTGTCCGGTCGTTTTTTGCGATCTTTGATCTCATTAAAGCGAGCAGTATAAAAAAATTGCTTGAAGCGAAAATGATTAGAATATTTTTGGATTTTGCGCGTGTATACAGTGTCAAAAAACTCATAAACGATTGAACATTCCATTAACATTCTATTTAGAGATTAGCATTTTTTAATCAGCTCAAACACTTTTGCAAGTTAATCTGACCAATTTAAACATGTGAGATCAGTCGTTGTTGTCTCGCTATTATAATAAGAACATTTTTTTCGTTTCATTCGCTTGGATTTATTTTCATTCTGTGAGGTGGTCTTCTATTCGATTTCAGTTAATTGAAATTTAATAAGAAATAATATTCGATCAACAAAAGAGTGTGAAACAATTCAGAATTCCATATACACGTCCCACAGGTAATATTCTGATTGGAACATGATATGGCGTGTAAAAATTTGATTATTCAATTTAAAAATAGAAGAAAATGTCAATTTTGTGACAATGTTATTGTGAAAACAAACTACGCACTATCATGAAAAATCGTAAAAGTTTGATAAAATTTCTTTGTAAACAATTGTCAACAATTGTTGTGTTGTAATTGCAAAGCCTATTTGCGTCTTTGCAAATTTTTTTTTTAGTTTTTTGGTGAAAAGAATTAAAAAAGGTGGCCACTCAGAAAGCACCTTATCCGTGGCCCGCTGAGTAACCAACGGGTTAGCGATCATCGACGATTGTGGGTTTCGATGCATGAAATGCAACAAAAAACCACACGAATCTCCCTCACGCTTTCAGATAAAGCACCACAGCTCGTCATCGTGGTTGCCGTCCACTCTAGGGTTAACCAAAGTAGAAGTATAAGAAATACTACAGAAATGATCCTGTGAAGTATAGTCTTGCCGAACGTCTATTTTGAGCAGACGCTTATGCTCTACGGTGATACGTTGCGCCAGTGAATTATAAAATTCACAAAAATGAAATTTACACACAACGTTTGTACTGTACACACAGTGGCTCTCGTATTTCTTGCTTGCTGTGGATCTCGTATTGCTTGTGAGACTTATCGTCTGTGCGTATTTGATCGTCACAAACGATTAGTTATGGCATACGAATGTACGTATGAACGAGCGCACTGCTATACATTTTTTGTTTCTACTGTTTGTAAAATAAATTCAAACAAAGATTTACGCGCGAGCGGAACACAAAAATTCAATGTCAAATCGTTCACTTAAATGTGATTTTTTGTTGTTGCTGTTTCGACATTACTATTTGCACAAGAAGCGTGAGACTCGGCAATCGACAGTCAACGATTAAGTGTAAAGCAAATTCATCGGATACACGGAATAACAAACAGTGCAACGAACATTAAGGGCCAAATATTTGTATTTCATTTTGTGCATACTTTGGATATATTTAATAGGACACACGATTATGTGTTTTTTGCGATTGCAATTCAAAGATATTTAAAGATTTTTTTTTTGTAAATATAACAACAGAAAAATACACACACTTTTTTAACGAATTTTTTCATGTCGGTTGCGTTGTTTCTTTGTGAAATTTTTGTCTCATTGCTCCGCGACACAGCGATATATCTTTGTTTACGGTTTTTCATCTATTTTTGGCACCAGATAAATTGCGAGATTTTATCTCGACGTCAAAGTTGAATGGAAAGAAAGTGACGATGAGTGTGAACAATCAAACATTTCTACTTCCACAATGTGCAGCACAAAGTGTTGGGCCTGCAAATCAACTTTTTATTCAATTAATTCAAACAATAATCACTGCCCACTGTACCATTCCGCAACCATAAATTTGGCCCAAAGATTATGGGCCCACTGCTGAGAAAAGCGGTAAAGACGATTTTTTTATTTCAATGTGAACAAAACTGTTTCACTTTTTCGAGTGTGCGATGGAAAGGTGTTCAACACCAATTTTAAATTAAAACTTCTTTCAAATAGATGGTGAAGTGTTTGATTTCGTGGTGGTTGGTGCTGGATGGGCCGGATGTGTGGTTGCGAATCGCTTGAGTGAAAATTCAAAATGGAAAGTTTTATTGGTGGAAGCTGGTGGCGATCGGCCTTTTGAATCCGAAGTACGTCATTTTTGTTTTTCCATCTCTTTGCTAGGGTCATTTTTGCCGTTTCATTTTTTTCTCATGTCTCTTTTAAACACTTTTCTCAGGTGCCGGTGATGCTGGAAGCTCATCAGCACACCGAATATGATTGGCAATTTTATGCCGAATCAAATACATCATGTAAAGCATTATCGGATGGAAAGTGTTTTTGGCCGCGTGGAAAGTGCTTGGGTGGTACATCGTCATATCACAGTGACGCAGGTCCATTAAATATCGATTTTTACGGCGATAGTCCAGTGGCAAAAACGTTCATAGATGCTGTAATCGAAGACGGTTACAAATTCATAAGTGACATAAACGCCGATGAATATATTGGATACACAAAAGTGCAAGGCACCTGTTATCAGGGTCGTCGACAAAGTTCGGCCAAAGTATTTTTGGCAACGGCAAAAAATCGAACAAATCTTCATGTGCTGAAATATGGTCTCGTTCAAAAGGTTCTGCTAAACGAAACGAATGGAGCCTACGGCATTGAGTATGTCCGTAATGGAAAGGTCATAAAAGCCTATGCCAAAAAAGAAGTGATTTTATCAGCCGGAGTGATCATGTCGCCGGTGGTTTTAATGCTGTCTGGCATTGGTCCGAAAGAAGACTTGGAAAAGCATAATATTGCACCAAAGTGTGATTTGCCGGTTGGAAAAAACCTTCTCGATCATGTTCACACATTGATTTTCTTTCGATTCGATCCCACCAAAAGTGATCCACCCACTGCTACCGATAACATTTACAATTTTGCGATTCATGGTACAGGTGGATTGACAAACTTTGGCGTTGGCACTTTATTCGCATTCATTAATACAGACAAAGCCGAAAAATTTCCGAATATTCAATTGACGTACTTTTGGTTTACGGAAAATGCACCCAACCTGCCTACTTACATAAAAGGACGTCCGTTTAGTGATGAAATTGCTAAAAAGCTAATGGAAGTTAATCAAAATCATGACATTGGAGTGGTTGCCATATCACTACTTCATCCGAATTCAACGGGTTCCATACAATTGAACAGTAGCTCGATTCATGACAAGCCAAACATTTATCCAAACTATTTTAACGTGCCAAGTGATTTAAAAACGATGATCAGTGCTATTCGTCATCAAATTTTTTACACGAATAGTCAATCTTATCCGGCGGAACATGGAAAGGTTATTATGTTTCCATTGAAGGAATGCAGTGGAATTGAGTATGATAGCGATGAATATTGGAAATGCTATATCACGTACATGGCTGCAACTGAATACCATCATGTCGGTACCTGCAAAATGGGCACACAATCAGATCGGGATTCAGTGGTTGATGAAAGACTTAGAGTTCACGGCGTATATGGAGTTCGTGTTTGCGACGCAAGCATGTAAATATTTGAGAATTTTATAATGATTTCAATTTTTGGCAAATTCGATTTTTTTTGCAGAATGCCGTATATCACATCTGGAAATACAAACGCACCAACGATTATGATCGGAGAGAAATGCGCCGCGATGATTATTGAAGATAATTCTGATATGTCTTCACATTCAACATCAAATGAAGAGGTGGAATATTCAATTTCTCGTCTTATTCGGGATTTATCTAATCTAAAACGTTTTCTTGAATAAAATTGTAAAAAAATTATGATTTATTTATATTTTGTGTTTTACTTTGTTAGCGTTATTGTGAAAGACTACATAGAGATAAAAAAATAATAATTCATATTACACGTGCCGATTTTGTAGTGAACAGATGGTGTTTAAATCTAAAAAAAAATAGTATTTGGTTGCTTTGAACTTCTTTCATATCACATGATGAAAGAATATAATAAAAAAATAAAATCATCTTGATGATCAAGTATGACTCTTGTTATGAGCTTGTTTTGATTTTGTCCATTTTTTATTTGCAATGCTTATTCTGTTGAAGATGAATAAACATTCTAGAGTCGTTCACGAACGTAGTCACGAGCCTATTAAAAATAAACCTAAGACACGAACTATACATCGTTGTGTTCACGATATTGGAAGCTGAAGCAAGCGTCTATTCATTTCGAAATAATTTGATGTTTTTTTCCTTTAACAAACTCGTGTGACACTGTTTATATCTCTTTTAGTTTCCATCGTTGTTTTTCTTGCTACAAAAATCGAAAAGCGAATGGGAATATTATTCAAATTCAACAGTTTACCACTCATCTATCCGAATTACTTTAACCATTCGGATGATATGGAAAAACTAGTACGTGCGGTCAAGGAACAAGTCTCATATGTTGACACAGATGCATATCAATTGCTTAATTTGGAGTTCATCAAATTACCCATCAAAGAATGCGATCAATACGAATATGGATCGAACGAATATTGGCAGTGCTACAATAAATATATGAGGACCACTTTGTATCATCCGGTCGGAACGTGTCGAATGGGAACGAATGAAACGGGCGTTGTTGATAATCAACTTAGAGTGCATGGCATTCAAAAATTGAGAGTTATCGATACTTCAATGTAATGTTATGAATTAATTCAATTTATTTTCCAATTTACATTTCGATCATTCATTTTTGATTTCAGAATGCCGATACAGGTGTCAGGACATACAAATGCACCAGCGATGATGATTGGAGAAAAGGGGGCCGATTTTATTAAAAATGATTATTTGTAAAATAAAATAGTCGATTAAAAATATTTTATCTAAACCAAATTAAACAAAGAAGCGTAAAAATTCGTTTGATTCAAAATTATTTCGTGTTTGCAATGAATCGAATGAAGTGTCAAGATTTGTGGAGCTGTCTTGATAATGTATTCAAACAAAAAACATCATATTCAAAGCCACTGTCAGCGTTTGTTTGATAGAAATTTAATGATAACAGTTTCAGTTTATTCTCGAAAGAACCAGACACTCAGCGACAAAATATTTAGACGGTCACTCGTATACAACAACAATACCGTTATTTACAATAGGCTACAGTCGTGAAGTATATGTACCGCCTGGTTCTTTCGATTTCCATGCGGAAAAGATAGTCTGAATACGTAAGCCCCTTTATTTTCAGGTCACTTCTAATAAATAGAACAATCGTAGCATGAAGTGATAATGACAAGAGACAAGGTTTCTCGAGACTCCTTCATAATATTACTACTTTGAATGCAAATTGAACAAAAAGCATCTCCTTTAAATATTTTCATTATCAATTTATTTTGTTCAGAAATTTTTATTACCCATTGTCGCGACAAGATTTTTTCGAATCATGTCTACCGCCCTAAGTTGAAATATTTTCCATTTAAAAATACACAGATG